TTTTGTGTAACTTAAAGCTACTTAAGTTCTTCTGTACAATTCCAGAAGGAATTTTAAAAATCCAATCAGATGCAACTAAATCATCCTGTCAAATATGAACACTCTTCTGTAGTTATCAATGAAGATACACAATAAAGAGAGGATAGAATTCAGAGAATAGAAATTCCCTTCCCCTCTCATAAAAAGACACAACAGGGGATTCCTGGGTGGCGCAGCGGTTTATCGCCTGCCTTTGGCCCAGGGCGCGATCCTGGAGACCCGGGATCGAATCCCACGTCGGGCTCCCGGTGCATGGAGCCTGCTTCTCCCTCTGCCTGTGTCTCTGCCTCTCTCTGTGTGTGCTATCATAAAAAAAAAAAAAAAAAAAGACACAACAGGAAACACAAGGAGAAAGAACCACATGGACAGAAAAATAGTATATGAAGAATCACAGGACTAGAAAGAAAACATGAACACAGTGCAGAGAGGGGAGTGGACAAAGAGAGTACTGCAGCAGAGATGTAAACACAATAAGGCAGGACAAAGGGAGGGCAGAAAAGGGACACTGTAGAGAAGGCAAAGGCAAACATAGCAAATCTGATAAATTCCAGTCTGCTATAGCTTTCCTACAAGAAAGTCTTTATATCCAGTTGTTTTTTTTTTTGTCGCAGTTGGATCTATTTTTCTTGCTTGATATTCAGTAGAAATTGTTTTAAGTTCCCATTATTTTCTCTAACATTTCTTATAACATATTATTTATGGTTAAGAGGACACATTATCTAAAAGAAAAATTACTTACATTTGGCATTAGAATACAATTATAATCAGATAAATACAAATAAATACAAATACACATAAATCCACAAATCTACCCCTTGAACCCTCTTCTTTCCCCTTGGCCCCCTCCTGGTAGCCTAAAATGTAAAAGAATGAAGATTTAAATTAGGCAACAGAAAGCAATAACCAAGAGTTGCTCTATCTGAAATTCTATCTTCAAATACCCAAGACACTAGACAGCCATATGGAAGAATTTTTTTGGCTTTAAGGGTAAACAATAAGATTACTCAAGGAAGCTAAGGAATCTCCATCTCTGGAGAACTTTCAAAGTAATGGTGATAATCATCTACCCAGGATTAGCTTTGCTTATTTTACTTGTGCTATCATTTACCCTACATAAAGAGATATGTAGCATTAAAATTTTTCTAGCATTAAAGATTTTCCATTTCATTGCTTAAATAATACATATTTCTTTAATCTATCCTCAGAAATTTCTAGATTTCAACCAACTTTATGACTTTTTCTTCTTTTCTCCTAAACTGGACAAACTGAATGTTCAGATAAGGACCTTAATTAATATTTCTGAGTATGTGGAAATTATATCAGTTTCCAGTATACCTATCTGCTGAATCAAAATGAGAACACTCATTCAGGAAATCTTTGCTTAAACAGAGATAGACTTTTTCTTTTTTTCTTCCAAATTTAAGAACATAAAATTCAGATCTTTGAATTTTGGTTGGCAGCGGACAAAATCAAAATAAAACTTTTAAAAAAAGACTTTATTTATTTATTCATGACAGAGGCAGAGACACAGGCAGAGGGAGAAGCAGGTTCCCTGTGGGGAACCCAATGTGGGACTCGATCCCAGGACCCCGGGATCACAACCTGAGCCAAAGGTAAAGTTTATCACAATCTAGTAAAATTCCAGGATATCCCACAGTCAGTTGGAAGTCAAATAATAACAGAAATGTAGAAGATATATTTTACTTTGTAACGTTGTTGACTTTATAGCTGAATATTCAGAGACGTAGCAAAAATATGTAGACATTAATCAAGGCTGAAACATGCTAATCTAATGAATTATTTTATTCATCCTAGTTTTATGCCCCTTGGCATACCTTTTATCTTCACACTAATAGCATCTGGTGTGAATCAGAAAGTCCCTAATCACAAATTTCAAGCGTCTCCTTATTATCCACAAAACAAAGAGCTCACCCCGGGTAGGTGGGTGTGCCTTTCCTAAGGTCTCTTCATATATGATAGATGACAGTGTTTCCTACTTTATTCCCTTTGAATATTCTACTATATTTACTTGTCTGGCCCAAAATTACTTCTATATGAATACAAAATAAAAAACAGGGATCCCTGGGTGGCGCAGCGGTTTGGCGCCTGCCTTTGGCCCAGGGCGCGATCCTGGAGACCCGGGATCGAATCCCACATCGGGCTCCCGGTGCATGGAGCCTGCTTCTCCCTCTGCCTGTGTCTCTGCCTCTCTCTCTCTCTCTCTGTGACTATCCTAAGTAAATAAAAATTAAAAAAAAAAATTAAAAAAAAGATACAAGCTTTAAAAAAAAAAATTTTAAAAAATAAAAAACAGTGGCACCTGTAATCTAGAGGTATCTGAACATGATTCCATTCTACCTTCACTGTACTTTTATCTGCTACCTTATTTTCTCAGAATTTCCCTCACAAAGTAGTTTGGTTTGCTTATGAAAGAGATCAAGACAATGAGATTTTATTTGAAGCAAAGCAAGGTTTAATAACTCATGCCAATTTTAAGGAATGCTTCTCTAATATATCAAAATTCTTATAATTTATAATACTAATATTATTTATTTGAAATTAAATTCCCACATCACTATTTTCTAATTTTTCGTAAGATTCTGACTGCTTTAAACAAGTTCAGTTCTTCCTTTCAGAATATTTTCTATCACTCCATCCCTGAACTTCTATTATTAAATAGTGCCTAATTTATAAACCCTTTATTAAAAACCACTACTCAAAATATCCAACCTTCCCATCATATTTTCAATTCTTAAAATAGATTTTCTCTACTCACAGATAAATGATGATGTATCATTGGAAACTGATGGCTCCCTCTCAAAGAAATAAATTAGTTGTTGCATCCTTCCCTCATTTAAAATAAGGTGGCTGTTTCTGGCTGTGAAAAAGGCTGAGAAGTTGCCTCTGGCATGATTTTATTAATCAAAATACTGGCAGGGAGACACAACTTTAAGGGAGTACTTCTGTTGTAATTTGATGTGTTAGCAAATTATGTGCAGGAAAAAAAAATGTTTGGTACAAAGCTATTACACTTCATTTTAAAATGAAAACTTAAAACTCAGTATATCCAAAAATGAAGCTTTGACTGGCAATAACAACTTTATGATTTACGCTAACTTTTCATGTTTCCTATAATTAAACATATTTGAGGTTGAGTCTATCAACATTAAATCATTACTTGTTTCTCAAAATACTAAATATTCTCCTATTCAAAAATTGAATTAGATATGTTACATTTTTTTTTTAAGATTTATTTGAGAGAGAGAAAGAGCACACAAGTGGGAGGGGCAGAGTAAAAGGGAGAGAGAATCTCAAGCAGACTCTGTGCTAAGTGTGGAGCTGGATGCAGGGCTCTATCTCAAGACTCTGGGATTACAACCTGAGCCAAAACTGAGAGTTGGACGCGTAACCAACTGTGCCATGGGGGTGCCCCTGGTACTATATTTTGAATTACTTTAAAACAAAATATGTAAAACACCCTTAAATTCAAGGATTGCACAAGGGTATTTTTGAAAACCGCAGTGGATTGCAAGCTGGAAGAAAATATAGCTGTCCTTTAACCTACATTTGTAGAAAAGTTAGGCAAGCAACATATAAACAGAAATAGGAAAGAGCAAAAATTTGAGAGAAATGGTCTCCAATCTTCCATACTTAGGCAACATATATATATGTTTCACTAAAGTGAATCTGGCTTAAGCTGTATTTATTTATTTACTGAGATTACATGAATATTATCTATTAGATGGGCATTTATGCCCGATCCAAGTAAAGCAAATGGGCAAATACACTCATTTTAAAGAAATTTAATTTAAAAAAAAATAAATTAATTAAAGGAAAAATCAATCCAGGCTTGGGTTGGATATATTACAATGTAATCATTCTCCAAGTCAGATATTTACAAGAATATTTTAATAAAAAACAATGGAGTGGTGGGAGATGAGGGCCAGTAAGAGGCAAATGGGAATTAAATATTTTTACTCTAACAAAACTGTTTGGGGGGCCTCTGCTGGTTAAGCATACACCTTTGGCTCAGGTCATGATCCCAGGGTCCTGGGATTGAGCCCATATTGGGCTCTCTGCTCAACTGGAGTCTGTTTTTCCTCTCCTTCTGCCATTCCCCCTGCTTGTGCTCTCTCATTCTCTCTTTCCAATAAACAAATAAAACCCTAAAAAAAAAAAACAAAAAACCTCTTTGGAAAAAAGATTAAAAAGAAGAAGAACTAGAGCTGTTCATATGACATCATATACATAAAACATGGTCAAAATTTCCAAATTCCATTCTGTGAAAAAAAAACAAAAAAACTAGCGCCATGAGAGTTTTTTTTTTTTTAAGATTTTATTTATTTATTCATGACAGAGAGAGAGAGAGAGAGAGAGGCAGAGACACAGGCAGAGGTAGGAGCAGGCTCCCAGCAAGGAGCCAGACGTGGGACTCAATATAGGGACTCCAGGACCATGCCCTCAGCTGAAGGCAGACACTCAACCGCTGAGGCACCCAGGTGTCCCAGCTCTAGTTCTTCATATTGACAGTCATTAATGAAAGAAAATCAAATAGATTACCAAATCTACAGATATTAATTTCATTATAATTTTATAAACTTCAAGGAAATCAGAAATTCAAATCTGAAAACTGCTTTTCAGTAATTTTGGTATAAGAGTTTGAAATAAAAGGTGAATTTCAAGGCAATAAATGTTATCATACATGTAGAAATTTTTAATTCAAAGATTGTATCTAAAAATCATGTTGTAGTGACTGAATAAACTATACGCTTTAGCTCTACGTGACTAAAAGTAAACAATGATGGTTGGTTATGTGGCCTTTGCAAGAAAAGAACTTATCTTGGTCTGAAATCAAACTGCTATTACTTACATTCTCTTATACTCCTCTTCCTTCCTGTATACATTTATGTTAAGGCAAGAGAAACAAAAGTATTTTCTATTATACTGCTGTATATACTTACCTAATATTTTCACAGCATAATGAGGACTTTCTAAGACAATTCCTTCCTCTGTATCAAATATAGGGTTATCTATTCCAGTCTTTGGAGGAATTTGGGCTAGTTTCTTAAGTCTCATGGAAGAATTAAGGTCAAGTTCTTGTTTTTTCCCTTCTTCCTCTCTCCTACGCCTCATGTCTTCCTGTTGTTGCCGAATACGCTCCAACTGTGCACTTCGACGTACTGGCATCATCCTGGTGCCCAAATCTCCGGGGCAGTCAACAGCCATCTCTCGATGCTTCTGATGTTCCTCTGGTGATGCAAGATCAACATTTTTTACTTCGTTGTCTGATTCCTCAGTAACATGCCCATTCATATGGGATGTTGTCATGGTTATCTATAAAAACCTGTACCACTTTTTATAAATCAATTTCTCCTATAAAGCCAATATCTTGATTCTGTAGTATAAAATCCATGTTACTTCAAAAAACAAAAACAAAAAACTTCTCACATCACATAATAATGCTATGAAATGTATCCATGAAGGAAATCTAAGGGGGAAAGATGGGGAAAAAAAGTATAAGAATTACAATATAAAAGTAGATTTTACACAGCCCACTTCTAATCTACACACAATATACCATCTCTTAAGTGTACAACATTATTTGGCTACATAGATTAAGTACTTTTGTTTTATTTTACAAATAATGCTGAGGAAATCAAGTTACTAACAAAAATCCCCTCCCAAGAATTTGAAGCATACTGTTTAATCCTATAGTTGAGAAAAACCATGTATTGGAAAGTTTAGCAAAGAGGGAAAGTAAGAAAATTTTAGGTACCACTCTAGTAGAGAATAGGTTGCTTAAGGTATAAAGATGTTTTGATAATCTTTGTATAGTTGTGTCAACACAGTACTTTACACTCAATACATGAGATTGAAATAGTTTCCTAGTTAACTGCTAAAGAAACTGGCATATAGCAAGCCATGTTGGTGGCTCACCTGAGATTAAGGTAGTATTGTGGGGGACAATTCACTTTTAGGAGTTTATGAGATGCAGGAGATACCTAATGAAAAAGAAATTTTAATTAGCAGCTAAGGCATCTATAGGATAAAACCACATTAAGTGAGAAAAAGGCTGTGGGTTATTAGTCTTTATAACCAGTCACCTTAAAAAAAGAATTAAGGGTGCCTAGGTGGCTCAAATGGTTCAGTGTCTGCCTTTGGCTAAGGTCATGACCTTGGGATCCTGGGATATTGAGTCCGGCATCTTCGGACTCCCTGCTGAGTAGGGAGTTGACATCTCCTTCTGGTCCTCCCTGCTGCTCGTGCTCTTTCAAACAAATAAAATCTTTGAAAAAATTTTTTAAAAAGAATTAAGATTAATTCCTAATGAGGATTCATTCAGAAAATAGTAGTATCTGTTACCACTCAAAAAAATCTTTATTAAAGTTACACTCCACAGCAAATAATATATTGGACTTAGAGACCAGAAACTGAATTTTAATTCTGGTTCTGCGACTTCTTCTGGTTTTATGATTTAAGACTAGTCAGGTTCTATCTCTGAATATCAGATTCCTTTGGAAAATTTATTCATAGGCTTGTTCTGAGTTTTTTGTTGTTGTTCTCAGTTTTAAGCGAGATGCTGTATGCAAGTTTTAAAACTAAAAAATACATGTATGTATATTAATTGTTAGTATTAATTTGATTCTATTTTAAAAATTCAGTATTAACCTGATTCTCCTATTTTAAAAATCCTTCAAAATATTTTTATGTCATTTTTAAAAAAGATTTATTTATTTTAGAGAGAAAGTAGCATCCGTTGAGGGGAGGATCAGAGGGAAAGAAGTGGACTTCAGGCTGAGTGCACAGCCCCACTGAGAGCCAATCCCACGACCACAAGACCATGACCCAAGCCAAAATGAGGAGTGGGGCACCCAACTGACTGAGCCACCTAGGTTCCCCACGTATTTTAGACAAGAAAAATATTTTACTGGATGACAAAGGCTTTTCATCAAGCCATTTCTTATGTGTAAGTAAGCAGATTGTTTATTTATGTGTAAACCCACACAGTAAATCTAATTAGTCTTCTCTGTTCAAGACTTTAAAAATATTTACAATAATAAACCCACTATGTCCTTGAGTTGAGCATCACTTCAGTAAATTGGCTAGAGCATATGCCAACTCAGCAAAAGCTGAGTTTTTAGATAATATTCCTAAAAGCCAGCCAATCTTCACTCAAACAAATATCTTGTCACAGACTTCTTTAAACCACCTAGATTGAGAGGAAAACCATTAGACCAACAGGAAGGAAGACAGGTGCCAGCTACATAAGCCACTAACATTACATTCTCACAAGAATTTTGGTAGATTTTTCTGTCTTGTATCCAAATTTTAACTTCTCTATTTATAACTATGTGAGCTACATGTAAATAACTTATTTATAATTGGATTGCTTTATTTTTCAGTAAACTGAGAACTATCAGTATTATATTAGGCTATTAAGTTTTATATATTGATTATACATAATGCAAATTCAGCTTATTTAATGTTCTCACTGTAAGTAAGCAGAAATGTATGTGGAAATTACTGTAGTGCTATGCTTAATTTTGATTTGAAAAATCTAGGAGTATATATTTTCAGAAAATTAAAACTCTCACCTTTCTCCAATTACAATATTTACTGGGTATTATTTAATGATGAGTAATGTACTTTTTACCTTATATGCTAGTCTACAAAATTATGATCTGAAATTAAAACTCCCAGCTTAAAAACTAAGGCTATGTCTCCATAGTCACTATAATAGATCATGGGAGGGGGGAATTACAGCTCGTGCAAAAGAGACCGAGCCAGCTGATCTGGGTCAGAACTTTTATGCTTGGACTATTATCATGCTTGTCTTTCTGGATCTAGTCTTTTACTCTCAGAAAAATTTCTGCAACCTGATATTAATCTGCTTAAAATTCCATTTTGGTCATTTTCCTTGGAGTGTTCACAGTGTACTGGGAAAGACAGCAAAGAAAATGAAACATTATTCTTCCCCAGCTGGTTTCTTCTCATTAGATTCTAAACTCATGCCCAGTGAGTATTTGTTCAACTAAGAATGTCAGAATTTCATAGAGGATTGCACATATCGTAGACTCTGAAACTTAGTATGTGATAAGGAGTCACAGCAAACACGCAAAACATGAGGATACATTTCTTTGAGCAATATTTCAAAGAACTAAAAATTAGTCAGATAGAAAAGTCTATTCCAGGCAGAGGGATCACATGATCAGTAAGAATGAAGAGTAGGAAAATATAGCATTTTCAGAAAACAGAATAGAATGCAATAAGGCTGGACAGGACAATGGGAGCATTTCATACATAAATAATAATGAAACTGAAAAGGCAAATGGGGGGCCAGACTGAGTTAGTTTAAGAACTAAGGACTTAGACCTTAGCCTGAAAGTAGTAATAATTATTGTAGGATTTAAAGCAGAATTGACCTGATCACATTAACTTTAAGAGGAATATCACTCTGGCAGAAGTGTATATGATTGACTTAAGGGTGGAATGAGACCATTTTGAAGGCAACTGTAAGAAATAGGGTCTTGATCTAAGACAGTGAAGATGAAAAAAGAGTTATATTAAAAACTATATATATAGGTTATAGAAGTACTAGAACTTGGTGTCTGCCTTTCATACAGCAAAAAAAGAAGAGCTGAGAAAGAGGAAGAGGAGAAGGAAGTAGTAGTAGCAGTACTTAGAACTTTAACAATTACTGAGCACTTACGTGTTGGAGAATATTACAAACACTTTACACAGTGTTTACACAGTATTCACTCATTTAGTCCTCATTACTACTCTAAAAGTAGTTCCAAATATGCCTGTTTGGTAGATGAGGTATAAGGGCTGAAGTAGACTTTGAAGACAGAATGGTAAAACAAGCAAGAGGCCATATATGAACAAAAGGGAGGAAGATAAAAGGTATGGGAAAAGAACAAATAAGGCTAGTTGAACTAAAGCAGTCAGCTTGTACAAGAGAATAGTGGCTAAAAAGTTTGTTTGGGTCCAATTTACAAAAGGTCTTAAATTAAGTTCTTAATTCTCAAGACAGTTAGAAAGTCATCAAAGATTTAGAAAAGAAGAGTGATTTGTACATAAATATAACTGAGCATTTACTCTTGACTAGATACTAGGGTTATAGAGACAGGATCCCTGCCCATTAGGCTATCTACCAAAATGTCTTAGGGATCTAGAAATTAATGTGTCCAGAGCTAAACTCATTATTTCCCTTTAATCCCCTCATATTCTCCTTAATCCTCTTCCTCCACTCTCAGTTCTAATTAATGCCATTATACCTCCCCAGTTACCCAAGACAGCATAATGTTTAAGAGAACAAGGCTCCAGAATCAGACTGCCTAGGATCTAATCCTTGCCTACTCTCCTTTTAAAAGTCTCAGTTGAAATACATCCTACTCCAGATTGCCATGACTCCTCAAACTGGTTATGTGCTTGCTCTGGAACTCACAATCCCTGTCATATCTCTGATCAAACTAGACTACAGCTATTTGTATCTTTGTCTGTCTGCCCCATCAGACTAGATGCCTTTATAGATCAGGAACCATACTGACTCATATCTGGATCCATGAAATCACCCAGCACAGGGGCCAAGCAAACAGGGAAGCTTCAGAATAGGAACCACAGCAGTGTGACTCCAGGACCACTAACTTTGAGTTACTGGGTGGATGGCAAATATTAATGTGGAGAATACAGGAGAAGAAGAATTAGAAAAGGACAGAAATTGAAGGGCAATAGTTTTGGACACATTAATTGCAAGGTGACTGCAGGTCATATGGGTAAATGATCTACCTATTAAGCATCTATCTTATTCATCTATATAGTCCTGATATATATACATAGTAAGGGACAAATGCTTAATTAAGTATATGACTAAATCACTTCTATGTTCAAGATCTCTAATGGCTTTCATATTGCCTAGAGAATAGAGTCCCAACTCACAAGGTAAATCCAAACTTTCTAACTGTATCTTTAATACTTTCCTATACAAACTTTCTAAGTTTGCTTCCTCATTTGTGCCTATCCTGTATCTTTTTTCTTCCTGCCTAAGTGCCTAATAAAGTTAAGAAATATGAACTGCTTCTCCTTTCATCTTTTGTCTACTACAGCCCCCATTTCCTTTAAGAAATTTTTTCAGATCACCTTGGTTAAATAATGATCTCACCAAACAACACTCCAAAACACATTATAATGATCACAAGTTAATTCAGGAGGGCCCTAAAAGATTCAAAAGTTCTTCCAGAATCAAAGAAACATTATGCTATGTCCTATAGTTCTGGCATCAAGATAATTGTAATTCTTAAATACACAAACCATGAATACTCTAGCTCATATATGTAGTCAACACATATCATTAAAATGTAGCAGTCCAAAGGAATTGTACTCTCCCTTTCCAAAACACATACACAAACAAGCAAAAGAAAAAGAGAAAAAGAAAGGGAAAAAGTCTTTTGTTTGACAATTCAGAAGCTGATAAATAACTAGAGAATTATCTCCTTATATGTAAATAAAAGACTGTCTTACGCAAATAATAAAGCTACAGGTTCCTGGCCCTAAGAGTACTCTATTCCTCTCTTCTCAACCTTCTAATTATAAATTGTTTTTAAAATGCCTCAAAAGTCCACATTTCACATCCTCATCAGAGTCCCAGCTTGCACCCCCACCCAAAGATTAAAAAAAAGAAAAAAGAAGTCAAAACTCTTTACACAGTCCAAAAGACAAGAAAACAAATTTTCAGGTTGGCATCCCAAAGCTGTTTCAATGCTAACTTCAAACCAACTGGGGAGAAAGAGCTTGCTTATCTGACTTGGCTATAAGAGAAGGAGGTACAAGAAAGCTAATAAGCTTCAAATAATTAAAAATGATTGAGATTGGGGGACCTGAAATAGTCTGAAGTATATAGGCCCACTAAAACTCTACACCAAGAAATAGAATTGTTTATGTGACAGCTGGGGAATGAAGATGGTCATCTACACTACAGCCCAGAACTCCAGATTTTTTTTTTTCAATTCATCCTTCCTCCCCTTCTTCTCCCACAAGCAATGCCTTTTGACTAGCAGCTGGGAAGTCTCATTTTCAGTGATCAGCATTCCTCTGACATTCTAAGAAGTTGGACTATTTGTTTCCATAGAAACAGCTTTGTCAGCTAACAGAAAATTCAGGCCAAGAATAGTGAAAAGAACTTACGTTATGCAAATTGGAAAGAACTTGTCTACTATCCTCTTAGTTTTTCTTCTCTGGTCTTTCACAGAACTCAGGCTAACTTTCTTACTCTGTAAAACAGAGGAGAGACAATCAAGTGTAAAGGTCTGCAGTATTTTTTAGGGGGAAAGAGTGAGACAGAAAGGTTAATTGAATACGATATCTAATTCTGTTTGCAGATGGGCTAGGATTTCTTGGTATGAAGTAGTAAAACTGTAAATCTTCCCCAATATTTAATGAACATCAATTAAAATCTTTGTAAATTACCTGAGATTATTGAGGAGAAAGAGGCAAGCATAACTGGTAAGACCTTTTGCAGATTATTTTTAATGATACCTTTTGACCTCTAACTTAAGGCTCAAACAAAAATGCAGTTCATATTTTTTCTTTAACTACAACTTCTGGACCAATTTTAAATATTTTGACTAGCTTACAATGCTGAGAAAATGAGAAGTTAAGGATCCAAAAAGATCCACAAGAATTTGACAGGAACTGTAGTTAATTCAGAGAGGGAGATTTTGATGCTACACCAGATCATTGCTGTCCCAATGATGCTTACATTCTGGCAGAGTAACAGATAATAAAGAGCAAACATGTAAGATACTTCAGATAAAGAACTAGAGAGAAAGTGTAACTAATATAATAAATAGTGATGTTTAGAAATGGATAACATTAGATAAGAAGGCCAGGGAAGGACTATTTTAGGAGGTGATATTTGCACTGAGACCTAAATGACAAAAAAAATGAGTCAGCTGTGGGATGATCCAGAAATAAAGGGTTCTAGGTTGAGGAAACAGAAAGTACATTTCTATATGGATATTACCAGGATCTCAATTTTAATATATCTCAAACTGACCTCAACTTCTTCCCTACTTTTGTTAATAATACCACTATCTCCAAGATTTGATCTTTTTCAAAACAAACCCTATTATCTAGTCTGTTGCTAAGATCTGTGGATTGTACAAAGTTTTTAGAATCCACTGAAGGGTGGCAAAATACTCCAAAATACCCCACTAGAAGATCATGTTCACAAAATGAAAAGGCATGCTAAAAAAAGGGAGAAATGTGTCTGCAAAATATTTATATTCACTATAAACACTCCTACATCTCATTAAGTAAAAAATCCCAATTTTAAAAAATTGGGCAAGTGATTTGACCACTTCACCAAAGAAGATACACAAGAGGCAAAAATGAACATTTGGAAAGATATTCAAAATCATTTTTTAAAAAAAGACTTTATTTACTTTGAGAGAGAGGGAGAACACAAAGGGGGGGGGTGTTACAGACTCCCCACTGAGCAGGAAACTTGACAAAGGGCTAGCTAGATCCCAGGACCCGGGGATCATGACCTGATGCTAAGGCAGAGGCTTAACCGACTGAGCTACATACACCATCGCCCCTCAAAATAATTAAGTTTTGAAAAAGACTAATGTATATTCATATACACTGTGTATTCAAAACAATTCATATATTCACATATTAAAAAAAACCTGTGAAATGAATAAATGGCCCATATACCATCTTTACAAAAAAGAAACTTTATGTATATCTAAAATTAAGTAAATACGAGTTAAAACTCAAATATATTTGGGCTAGTCATGCAAAGTATTTAGCTCAGAAATTCTTACTGACAACTTAAAAAAAAAATCAGTGAGAAAGTGCTCCATTTGCTTATATCAAATACAAAGTTGAATGAAGGTCTTTGGAGATACTCAGGACCACAAATTCACAGGAGGAACTGGTTAAAAGCCAAACAGTATCAAAGATATCAAATGGTTGGTTACTTGAACTCCCCATTATCACCTTCAACAACTTGGTAATAAAAGATTAAATGAGTCCAAAAGGTTAGTCAAGTTTTTGAAAAGGTACTAGGACAAAAGGTAATTTATAACATTTTCAAAATGACCAGAAATGGATTTTTAAACATGTGGGATAAAATTACTTTTAATATGGCTTTCCAGTATATTGCTACCAATCAAGAATATATATGGCCTAGTTAGAGAACAAGAACAGTCTTGATAAGGAACAGAGCCAGAGTAAAAGATAGAAGATAATGGCAGAGTTGACTCTGAATGCTAAGCTAAATTGTTTGAATTTTCTCCTGTAAGCAAGGAGAAAAGGAAAACTATGGGTTTCTGAGTAAAAAAAAAAAAAAAAACAACCAGAAAATTGGCTTTTTACAAAGTTAAATCTATACTGTAACCGGAGTTGGCCAGGGGAAATGTAAGTAGAGCAACCAATTGAGATAATGTTTTAATACTTTATGCATGGGAGGATAAAGGAAGTAGCAGAAGGAATGAAAAAGGGATAACTTCAAACAATGGTTATTACAAATGATGACTTGACAGGATTTAGAGACCAGGGGCCAAATATAATTCCAAAATACTGAGCATGACAATTGAACCTGGGAGAAATTATGGGACATTAAAACAGAAAAATTCAGAGAATAAGGTTTTTCTCCTTGGGAAGGAGAGGAGGAGGATGTGGAGAATTGGAAAGAGGATAAATTCCATTTTAAAGGGTAACTTTGGCAGGCTGTTAACTGCTAGACAGGGAAACCTAAGAGGACAGGCTAGATATGAAAATTTGTAAGTAATTTACACATTTATACCTTACATTTGTAAAGCTTTTCAGTTTTCCTAATAAATTCAAGAACATTATCTCATCTGATCTCCAGTTTCCCTGAAAGGTAAGCAGGCTAGATATCTCCATTTTCCAGAAGATATGTAGACATTGCAAGTTAAGTCACAGAGCTACAAATAACAGAACAGGAACTAAAATCCAGATCAGTGAACCTTATGTGGATCCACAGTAGAATGTTAGTTATACCTCTGTAAGATGATACTACCCTGACTACATACTTCTTTCAAAAATCACATAATTACATCATTCTTTTACTTTTAAAATATGATTAGAGAGAATTCATCTTTCAACTGCTTCATAAAATGACACAATAATTAATTTCACTTATATGTTAACAGACTACAAGTTTACTGTAACACCAAGCTATGATAGCATGCCATCTATTGCTCAAAGTTTCTAAATATTCAGCAAAGGAGAGGTAGTCAAGTGGAGAAATGGCAGAAATGCATATAAACTTCTCCTCATTTGAAGACTAACACTAAGCTACAAATATTTCAGTTTTCTAGTGACATTTTTAAAATGTTATTCTCTACTCTATATTGCTCCAATATCAGTATGTGCTGCCAAACTGAGCCACATGTCCTACCTTGACAAACTGTTAACAATAAAATGCTACTTTATACCATGAAAAATGAATGCCATAAAAATAAAACAGATTAGACAGACTAATCCTGTCAGATAAATTAGTTGTCCCTCAGGGTCATATTAAGTATTGCAAATCATAATTGCAATATCCCTAAATAGGTTAATAAGTAATAACACTAACTCCCATCAACTCTCCCTCCATAATATCTCACATATAACCCTAGCTTCTCATACCACTACCTTAAATCATATTTATATTATCCCTCTCACAGGTTTTTCTATGAACTTCAAGAGTCACCCCAATCTTGGTCTTTCTAGTTGCCACATACTTTGCACAGATGACCCTTGCATAACATGGGAGTTAAGAGTTACTAACTACTCACAGTCTACTGTTGACAGGAGCCTTACTGATAATATAAACAGCTGACTAACACATATTTCGTATGTTACATGTATCATATACTCTATCCTTACAATAAAGCTAGAGAAAAGAAAATGTTACTAAGATAATCATAAGAAGAAAATACATTTATAGGACTGTACTGTATTTATCGAAAACAAAAACAAAAACAGAAACAACTGGCACACAAGTGGACCCAGGCAGTTCCAAACTGTTGTCCAAGGGTCAACTCTACTGCTGAATAAATTTTCCTGAAGCATGCCTATTATTATGGGTGTCCCTTTCCAAAGTTTTTGTTGCCTTTCCCTTTTCTTAAGCTACTGTTTACCACAGTTTACTATATACCATTCATTCACTGTGCTAAGTACCTAGTTTGCATTATCTCATTTAACCCTCACGACCATCTCTTGGCTGAATTTTCTAACTTAGTAAAGACAGTAACTTGTCCAATGTCAAAAGCTAAATGGCGCGGTTGGGCCTCAAACTAAATTCTTTTTGACTCTAGGTACTTTAACAATTTCTGGAGAACCCATTTCAAGTTCTTTAGCTTGTCATTCAAATGGCTCCCCTTGAATTAGTCCTAGAATACTTTGCCCCCACTGTTTCTCCCTTTCTTACCTTCCAAATGTAACTACTTGCTATTTCCAGTACAAGCCCTACAATTTTCCACCTCCACAGCTTTGACATATTGTTTCTTATACTCAGGGAAAAAAATCCTTCCTGTTCATTTCTTTATCTGTTAAAATTTCCCTCTACCATTAAGTCTTATGAAATCTTCCTTATTCCTGCCCACTCCCACCCACAACCTACACTTCTAGGATACTTAATCTATGTCCCTGCTGTAGCATTTATTTACACATTTCCTTCTCCTCATTAAGTTATATTTCCCTTTTTTGTTAAATCACTAATGTATCCCCCTACATTCTGATAGAAGAATCAAAATACTCTTTAATGTACATATTCAAATCAGGTAACCTACCAGTTTCTTTCTGTCTAAGTTATATCCTTATATCCTTTCTGGAGTCCACCATTCTCTAGCTCTAAGCTGGATATTTTCTGTGTCCAGATTCACTTGTCCTCTCCATTGGCTCCAGGTGTAAGAAGGCTGACCTCCACAGACTGCATTATTCATGTTTTCTTATCTTCTGGCTTCCAGTAGGGCTTAGCTATAGAGAAATACCCACTGGGAGGGAGGAGAGAAGGTTGGGTTCTTTATCCCCCTAGCTTCCTCCTGTGATTTGGCGGAGGTCATATTCCTCTAAGGCCACAGTTCCCACTAGGTGGCTCCTCTCCTAAGGTAGTAACTGGTAAATTCCAGTAACTACTCACTCCCTTGCCCATTCAAGCCTAGGCTTAGTAATAAGCATCCTGCTGTTGCTCACATTGAGATGCTTCTTAGTTCCCTAACCTCAACCTACATCTCTGTAAACAGTCCCTTCATTA